GAGATATTATGAGTATTAACTTGTTCCATACTTTGTTTTTTTTCTGGTATATTAATGACAACAGATGATGCTGTTAGCGTAAAATGCACAAAGATTTGAGTAAAATAAAATAAGTAACTAAATAGAAAAGAAAACCCTGAAAATGACTCATAACCCTTAAATTCCCCCCTCCCTTACTCAGATTAATAAATTGGGGCTTATGCTAATCCACAAATATGAATAGCTGAACTATGAAACCCTCTTCAAAAGCAACAGTGGTGCCCGTGAACCATACACCATAGTAAAACATTAATACAGCAAACCCATAAGTTGCTATAAATTCCCTCTTCTGAGAGGCGTTTAACAATGAATATTTCGTATTAATGTGACATACACAGCCAGCAAGTACAAATGTATTTGTTAAAAGCATTTTACAAACATATTGAACTATCCTGCATAAGAAAAAAAACAAAACAAAGTCACTCAGTAGCTGCTTATGACTTGTACATACATCAAAGATTAACTGGATATTATGTCAGCTGAGGTAGAGAAAAACAGCTATCAGTTATAAGCAGCTAATTCTGTGGTTCAGGAATTGAAACGCTCACCAGTACAGTCAATCATGTCCAGCGTGTGTGCAGAGGAAATCCCCAGCTTCCTTAGGAGATGAAGACAGCTGTATCTTCCCTTTGTGGAGGATCCTCATTTTGCATAGATTATATTATACTATCATATTATTAAATTATATTATTATTGGATTATACAGAAACCCGCGGAACATTCCTTTTTCAGCAAAAGCTTTCCTGATGTTATCGAACTCCGCTCGCTGTCGGATGGTTTCTGCTGAAAGATCCTGAACGAAAAAAGTTTATTCCCATCGCATTCAATGTTGCGTTGTTTTGTAAAGCAGAAAACAAATTCCTGATCTTGGAAATTCAGGGAACGGATGAGGACGGCTCTGTGGTTCGGTTTTGGAGGTGCTAGGGTGCGGTGGGCCCTCTCAATGATGAAGGATCTATTGGTCTCCAGCCAGCGRGGCATCATCTCCCGTATAAACTCCAGCAAAGGCCGCTGACCCTCAGCGTTCTCCCGGAGCACAAAAAGGCGCAGGTTCTTCCCTCGGCCTCGGTTCTCCAGGTCGTCGGTCTTAGCTTCCAAGTAGGATATTCGCTTCAGGGCTTTGGCAAGATTAGATTAACAGTTTCTAAGAGTTCCTCTGCCGACACGATTCTGTTTTCAGCTTCCTCCAGTCTAGTAGCATTAGCAGCTACATTTTGCTTCACCTCTGCTATGTTTTTCTCCAGAGGCAATGGACTTCGTCATTTTACCCATATGGTTATCTATGCTGTCCACTTTGTTTCCAAATCCACCGAACTCTGAATGCAACGACCGAAGTTCAGCAAGCACCATGCTAAGGTCACACATGCTATCAATGCTAGCGGCCTCTTGATCTGCTACCGAAGTATCAGTTTTAGCTGGTTTTTGGGAACCACGTTTTCGTGTGAAAATATCACAGTCCTTAAAAGTGGTCGATTTTGACATTTTTGGGTCCAGATTACGTTTTTAATCCTGGGTTTTTCGAAGTTTTGGTGCAGGTCACACGGAGCATCCACTTTAAGCTGTCATCTTAGTTCGCGGCTCCACAGCGCCCTCGATTTGTATTTTTTTATTTTATATAAATTTATTTTATTTTTAAAGAAATGAATAAAATAACAAAAAAAATCTGTATAAGTGCTGCAGCTGTGTGTTTTCAGTCGAGCTGGCCTTGGCAGCCATCTTGAACTAATCTGATCTAAAAATATTTCAACTCCCAGCTGAGTCTGACACTTTCACTCTCTGACGGTCTGCGTTGTGGTGAAAAAAGGACCCGCAGCTGGTTTGTCACAGAGCTGCGGTCCAAGTGAAGGGATGAGGATCAGTGATGCTGACAGGTCTGGACTCGGAGGACTCGTTCTGACTGCTGTCACACCAACACCACTACACAGGCATCAGCGCGACACGCTGCCAATGTGACAGACACTTAGAGCTGCGTCRTGCTGAGGGACGCCTGAACTCACCTCCATCTAAACCTGGATCGCAATCCTCTCTTTTTATTGGACACGTAAAAAGAAACAAAAATAAAAGAGATAAAAACGTCTTTGTTTCACCTGAGCTTCTCTCTACTTCTGTGTCAATAATTTAAAATAAGTGACAGATCACAGCAGTTTAAACAACAGCCTCCTCACACCTGAAGCCATATCAGAGTTTATTTACAAATAAAAATCGATACAGGAGCACAGAGTGAGTCTGGTCTACAGGCTGTGGACGATGGTTCGGTTCTTCAGCTTCTGGACGAACTCTTTGGCCTTGTCGATGCTCGTACTCTCCTCCACTTTAGGCGGCAGGCCCTCCACCAGCTTGACAAAGTAGTGGCAGTAAGATAAGTTCATGATGGCGCAATAGCCTTTACCGTGGTACCGTATCCTCTTCTGGTACTGTCCTTTAGCAGAGAACGACTGCTCTGCAGGAGGACACATGAAAACACCAAACGTTACAGTCTTCAGTCAGGTTTCAGTCTCCCTTTAATTCTGTTTCAATATTCTAGCTGTTTGCAGACTCACCTARATACAGGTTGGATTTAAATTCCACGTTGTGTTCCTTCACTGCCATCTCCTGAGCTTCTAAAAGGACCTAAAACAACCAAACCTAGACATTTTCATCGCTGTCGTTTGAAACGGAACATTTTCCCTGGACACGTTCAAGTCACTCATATATGACAATCCTGATATGACTTTTGTTATTTCAGCTATTTTTATTTTTCAGCTCTTTGATTTTTTTGTTTTGTTTTATTATTGTTTGAAATTAATATAGATTTTTGTAAATAAGAGCAGATATATGATTTTTTTCTTCTTCTGCTTTCTTTCATTTTATTTTATTTGTATTGTTTTGTTGTATGTAATGTGTTTTGTAAAATGAAATGAATAAATACAGTWCTATAACTACTATAAGATCCAAGCACTTCTCAAAAATGAGGGAATGACATTAGAACATGATGTAAAGATCAATGCTGATTTTATATACCCTCCCCCTTTAATTTCTCTCATACTGCACATCAGGTAATTAATTAAATGCATCAAATCCACAAAAAATACACCTCAGATGGTTTTAAATCATGTTGATGTCAAAATATTAACAGAGTTCAGATGCCTGAAGGTATTTTTATCTGTTTGGTTTTTACCTTTTATCAACAAATGTAAACACAGATGAGCACTTCTGATGTTAAACTCTGAACAGCCTCTCTGAGACAAATCAGTTTGCTAAAACTCGTAAAATGCTGAATAAACCATAACATAATAAGTAACTATATGGTGATAATAAACGAGTTGATGTGATTAAACAAACCTCCTTCACGATTCTTGCTCCTTTCTTGTCGTTGAATTCCAGCTGTGCGATAGCTTCYTCGATGCTCATCCCCCGGATCTACAAGAGACAGAAAAACATCAGAAAAAAGGTTTTTCTGCAGAGCTGAGAGGCTGACAGAGAGCTGCAGKCACCAACACTGCAGCCAAAGCAAGTCTAAATTTAATAATAGTGTTGTGATATATCTTCAAATGTTGAAATCAATGACTTAAATTCTCAAAATAACAAATTATTTTTTTTACCAGTTTGGCCAAATACCACATCTTATGATGGCTATATTTGATCTGCCTCCTGCTGTGGTGGACCTCCTGCAGAGAAATATTTTGTGTTAAACATGACTTTATCACTTTAAGCATCAGTTTATCACATTAAAACATCAGTTTATCACAGTAAAACATCAGTTTATCACATTAAAACATCAGTTTATCACAGTAAACATCAGTTTATCACAGTAACAATAAATCGTGAGTCTATTTTGACGACACCAGGAGGTCAAACTCACAGCTGGTCTGCGAGGCTCATCAGGCAGCTGCGGAGGATAAACCTTCAGGTTTTTCCTCTCCCAGTTACTTCTGTTCAGTGAAGTGCCGGTGTGGAGACGGGACAGCTGCTGAGACGCCCCAGCTGGAACCAGAGATCTGGACAGGGATCCAGAGACATGCGAGGCATCGTGATGCAAAGAATTCACCGATTCACTTTAAAATCTTCTCAAACTGAAGTGAAACTATTTTCATAAAGGTTTAAAAATTAAATATATTAATCAATACATCATCCTTTAAAATCAAAATAATACTAAAGGCAATGTACTAAATGTAGAAACTGAACTGTATACTGAAAAATACCCACAGGAAGCCTGTTAGTACTGCTGCAGGTATTCTCTAAGTCACATAGGTACTCTTAAAGTGCCTGTGTATGTACCTTGTAAGTACCACTGTATAGACTCTTTAAMTACTCTTATAAGTATACCCAAAAGTACACTGTACTCTGCAAGTACCCAGGCATGAACCTTCCAAGTATCCCTCAGGAGTCCTGTAAGTAACTGTCTAAATACCCCCACAAGTTCTACCGTACGGACCCTGTAAGTACCCTCCTAAGTACACCCACATGTACCTGTGGACCCTGTAAGTACCCTTCTAAGTACACCACATGTACCTGTGGACCCTGTAAGTACCCTTCTAAGTACACCCACATGTACCTGTGGACACTGTAAGTCCCGGGCTGCATTTATGTTTTTATTTTAAACAGTTTTCAAGCTTCAGAATAAAAACTGTTCTTACCTCGACAGGAACAACTTAGGTATACTCATAATAAAAGCAATACCTATAAACAAACAATAAAGCATTATAAAACGGACACAGCACAGGAAAAAACTGTAATTTTATCAGAACTGAGCTCACCGCGTCCTTTCACCATGGCCGCCATGTTGAATTTTTACGACTCATGTCTTCGCTTTACGGTATAAACGTTTAATGTGCGGATATATACAATTAATATGATAACTTTATGGAATGCGTGGATCAAATCGCTATGTATGTGTTTTGATTTATAAGCTTCATTAATTGTATTGAGAATAAAAATTTAAATAAAAAGTTTTTCAAAAAGCGAACTTGCGTGATTCGACCCAGTAGGGATTCCGTACTCGTCAACATCTGCATTTACGACACCACCGCCACAGTTTACGGTTGCTCACGCTGCAGTCACGGTCCATGCGAAAAGAAGTTTGTTTTGGTTTTGTTTAAGATTTAATTAGTAAAAAAAACTAATTTATTCAAAGTGACCGAGGCGACATGAAGGAAAGGTCGCTTCCCGCCTCTCCCAACTGGTACTCCTCGCGCTGCAGTGACGTCAACACTCACGGTTTGTTTGGTGTCGGAGCCAAAAACATCGTTTACTTGATTGATGTTTCTGGGTCCACGTGCAGGGTAACAGGTGAGTTTGTGTGTGTCACTCAGCAGACAGGTGGTCCGGTTCTGACCCGAGAAGTTCACAAAATACCAACTTATCGTAGCTTTGTCAGAGAAACAGAGTCCTGGTTCAGGTCCACTGTAGTCCTGGTTCAGGTCCACTGTAGTCCTGGTTCAGGTCCACTGTAGTCCTGGTTCAGGTCCACTGTAGTCCTGGTTCAGGTCCACTGATCCTCCTACACGTTCAGGTCCACAGTAGTCCTGCTTCAGGTCCACTGTAGTCCTGCTTCAGGTCCACTGTAATCCTGCTTCAGGTCCACTGTAGTCCTGCTTCAGGTCCACTGTAGTCCTGCTTCAGGTCCACTGTAATCCTGCTTCAGGTCCACTGTAGTCCTGGTTCAGGTCCACCGTAGTCCTGGTTCAGGTCCACCGTAGTCCTGGTTCAGGTCCACCATAGTCCTGGTTCAGGTCCACTGTAGTCCTGGTTCAGGTCCACTGTAGTCCTGCTTCAGGTCCACTGATCCTCCTGCACGCTAAGGTCCCCTGTAGTCCTGGTTCAGGTCCCCTGTAGTCCTGGTTCAGGTCCACTGTAGTCCTGGTTCAGCAGGTCCACCGTAGTCCTGGTTCAGGTCCACCGTAGTCCTGGTTCAGGTCCACCGTAGTCCTGGTTCAGGTCCACTGTAGTCCTGGTTCAGGTCCACTGTAGTCCTGGTTCAGGTCCACTGTAGTCCTGGTTCAGGTCTGCTGTAGTCCTGGTTCAGGTCCACCGTTTTCCTGGTTCAGGTCCACTGTAGTCCTGGTTCAGGTCCACTGTAGTCCTGCTTCAGGTCCACTGTAGTCCTGGTTCAGGTCCACTGATCCTCCTACATGCTGAGGTCCACTGTAGTCCTGCTTCAGGTCCACTGTAGTCCTGGTTCAGGTCCACTGGTCCTCCTACACGCTGAGGTCCACTGTAGTCCTGCTTTAGGTCCGCTGTAGTCCTGGTTCAGGTCCACTGATCCTCCTACACGTTCAGGTCCACTGTGGTCCTGGTTCAGGTCCACTGTAATCCTGGTTCAGGTCCACTTTAGTCCTGGTTCAGGCCCATTGGTCCTCCTACATGCTGAGGTCCAATGTCATCCTGGTTCAGGTCCACGGTAGAGTCCCTGTCCTGGTTTTGGATCATGACTTCTTCCTGGTGCAGACCTAGAAGACACWGAAGGGGGTTGGTCCAGGTCAGGTAACGTGATCCTTTAGGAAATCRTGAAGGAAGCCGTGAAAAAGGACGTCCTCCTGTCCTTATCGATGGACAGGGGACATTAGTATGTCCTTACCTGTCTTTAATGAGGATCACAGGTGGAGGGTGCTTGTACCTGACTGATGATGATGATGATGATGATGATGATGATGATGATGATGATGATGATGATGAGTCTCACAGACACATTTGGTTGTTATGTATGAAAATACAACAAATGCACTCAGATAATAACACTATAACAACAGTAATAACAATAGTAATAACATTATAACAGTAATAACTTTACAACAATAGTAATAACAACAATAGTAATAATATAATAATAGTAATAACAATATAATAATAGTAATAACATTATAACAACAGTAATAACATTATAACAACAGTAATAACATAACAGTAATAATATTACAACAGTAATAACAGTAACAATAGTAATAACAGTGTCAGTAATAAGGTTCACAGAGAGGACAGGTGCTGAGATGTAAAGGGTCCTGTTGGTGGTCTGTTGGGGGTCTACAGGTGAGCTCGCGGGCCACAGGGACCTGGTGTCGGGCTTCTCGTTCTGTCAGCACGCCGAGCAGAGTCACGTCTGCGTCAGCTCCTCCACCGACGGCACTGTTCGCTTCTGGGACTCCGGGTCCAGGACTCTGATCAGGGAGGATGCTGCCCACCAGGTGAGAGGTCCACCTGTTTCTCATGTCGTACTGACGCCCCCTGCTGGCTGGAGGGCTGCACTGCATGCTTAGATTTAGAGCCGAGTACAAAAACATTTACTGGAAAACAAAGACTGAAAAAATACTGTAGGCTGATTCGTTTTTAATATTAAAAAATATATATTGTCACATGGATGTCAGCATTTTATTTACACTGCAAAGCATGCTGGTTAATGATGACAGAGCTGCTTTATGGGAGGAGAACCTCAGCTTAACCTGTTAGCCTCAGCYTTAGCCCCCAAGCTAATAAATATATGTATATAGTGATATGACGTTAGCAATGCATATATATATATATTTGAAGCATTAGTGTCTAATGCKATGTTTACTGTATATTAGCTCGGCGCTAACGCAAAAGCTAACAGGCTAAACTGAGGTTCTCCTTGCAGTTTTTTTGCTACTTTTAATTAGTTTTTTGTTTTTTGCTGACTTTGCTTTTAGCTGTTAATTTAATATTTTACCTTTGCTACTTTTAGCTGTCTGCTATTCAATTTCAGCTTCTTCCAAAAATTGCTCAACATTCAGAGTTTTTGCAAAAAAATAATTAATTATTTAGTTTTAGTTTCCTCTCTTCTCCCTGAAACATTGAGTAAATAAAGACGTTTTTATTCTGCAGATGGAGCAAACTAGAAAAAAATCAGTACAAAATGAATAAGTTCTTTGAACATTAAATATTCTTGGTTACTTCACCCGAACATGGAGACAGGAAGTGATCCTGGCTGTGTGTGTGCTCTCAGAGTGCCGTCTCGGCGGTGCACTGGTCCCCCGCCGATAAGAACCTGGTGGTGTCGGGCGATGAGAAAGGCGTGGTGGTCCTCCACTGGTTCCACACCGGGGACACCAGCAGCTTCTTCCCCGAGCCGAGGACCATCTTCTGCCTGAGCTGCTGCCCTCACAGCTGGACGTCCGTGGCCGTGGGGTGGGAACAGAACCCTCAGAACCAGTTTCTCTCTGTTCAGGTTTAGAGGTTTAACTGTAGCTAACAGCAGAACCCTGCTGCAGGTACAAAGACGGGATGATCGTCCTGATCGACGTGAGTAAGAGAGGCGAAGTGACGCACCGCCTCCGTGGACACGACAACGAGATCCACTCGCTGGRGTGGTCGCCTCTGAGCGGCGAGGACGCTCTGTGCGGCAGAGCCGAGGACAGCGAGGGTAACCGTGCGACACCTTGTTCACTTCCAGGAAGAGAGATGCTTGGATCTGAAGCTACTTTGGGTTTTTACAGGAGCTAATGGAGTCCCTGCAGGAGAGGAGACCGGCTGCTTTCTGGCGTCGGGGAGCAAAGACCAGACGCTGAGGATCTGGAGCACGGCCAGGGGGAAAGGTAGAAGCAAGYTTTAGGATTATAGTTCGGATTAGATGGAAGCTGAGGTCTGTTTCCTGTCTCGTTAGGCGTGATGACACTGAAGCTGCCCTTCCTGAAGAGAAGAGGTTCCCCCGTCGACCCCGCGGTGCGAGAGAGGATCTGGCTGAACGTCCACTGGCCGAAGGGAAGAGCCACGCAGCTCGTGTCCAGCTGCTTCAGGTTGGTCCGTCTCAGAGGCTGAAAACCTCCGAACCAGTTTTTAGTCAAACTGTTTGTTGTTTGGGGTCACAGCGGGGAGCTGGTGATGTGGGACCTGGTCAAGTCGGGGAAGCAGAAGTGGAGTCTGTTTGGAGCGTCGGACGGTCAGAACCACAGCCGAATTGTCTTCAACATGAGTTCTGTGCAGCTGCAGGACAGAGAGCTGCTCATCAGCACCTCCATGGACCGAGAGGTGGGTCACCAGAACCYTCAGAGGCTGCTCGGATCAGGGCTTCTGCTTTCTGCTTCACTCGACATTTAAAACAATCGGTTTTCTTTAAAAGGCTGTTCTAAAAAAAGGCTAAAAATTAGAAACATTCTAGCCAAATGTAACAAAATGCTAGCTAAAAGCTAAAAGTACCAACAATATGTAGACAGTAAAAATAGCTAAAGTCTAAATAAAAAAACAGCTAAAAGCTCAAAGGGCTTAGGTAAAACATACAAGTAGCAAAACTTTAGCTAAATATAGCAAAATGCTAGCTAAAAGCTAAAAGTACCAACAGTATTTAGAAAGTAAAAATAGCTTAAGTCTAAATAAAAAGAGAAACACCAGCTAAAAGCTCAAAAGGCTTAAATAAAATGAAAAAGTAGCTAAATTTTAGCTAAATATAGCAAAATGCTAGCTAAAAGCTAAAAGTACCAACAGTATGTAGAAAGTAAAAATAGCAAAAGTCTAAATAAAAAGAGAAACACCAGCTAAAAGCTCAAAAGGCTCAAGTAAAACATACAAGAATCAAAACTTTAGCTAAATGTAGCAGTAGGCTAGCTAAAAGCTAAAAGTCTGGGAATGATAGATGATAGCTTAAAGTAGCTGAACAGTAGCTAAAATCATAGGCAGTATGCTGAAGCTGGCCTCAGTAAGAAAAATGTTTTTAGACTAAAACTTTTGTAAATAAAATAAAAAGATTTAGAAAAGTATAAAGACAAAAACCTGAATGAGCCGAAGTTTTGATAAACGAAGACGTGCATTGAAACAAACAGGAAGTGATGTGCGTGCTGACTCAGCATTTTTACATTGAAATAAAACATAAAACCTTATGTTTTGGTCAGATCAAATGCTGGGACCTGAACTCTTTGGGCTGCTGTTGGACCCTGCCCACCCTGGGGGGTCACGTCTACACCCTGACCTTCTCCCCGGTGGGCGTGGGCTGCCTGGCCCTCGGCGTCGGGGACAACATGATCCGGGTTTGGAACACGCTGAGCGCTCAGAACCAGTACGACCTCCGGTCCTTCTGGCAGGGCATCAAGTCCAAGGTCACGGCGGTGAGGGGTTCCTCCTGGATTTTCCACCGTCTGTGAAACAACAGGACGGTTTCTGTGAGTGAGCATCAGACTGAGAGACCACCTGAGGGAAGGTTTGTTTTGTTTCTGGCAGCTGGCGTGGCATCCGAGGAAAGAAGGCTGGCTGTGTTTTGGAACGGACGATGGAAAAGTTGGGATTTACGACGTCTTCTCCAACAAGTAGGTTAATAAACAAAATAAATAAAGGAATGAATTTTATCGTAATTATTCTGTTAACTTTAACACGTGTTGAACAGAAAAGTGCACCCACACAAAAAGAAATGAAAAAGAAACGGCTTCGGCTGATCACTAAAAACCCAAAAGACCTGCCTGGAGAAACCTTCTAAACCTGTTAAAACTGCTCTTATTCAAAATGGCCGCCACAGCTAAAGCTCAGTCAACCTTACCGTTTTTTTTTTTAGCTACGATGTGCTGTGGTTTTAGCTGATAGAGAACAGACTTCAGCTGCTAGCTGTGTATCTTGATGTTTTTAATCTGTTTCATGTCTGTGAACTTCTCTAATAGTTTATGTTTATCCTGAGTGGAACAATAAGCTGAAACTTTAGCTTTTATTAGCTAAAGATCTGACAGAACAACTCCCAGAGATCTTTTTTCTTAATAATGGAAATTAAWTAAATCTGCGGTATTTAAAACTTGCTGACAGAATCTTCTGTAAATGTTTCTGTTCTGAGTTTAAACTGTTTGCAGAATTTATTGTTGGAAGTTTCCAGAGTTTTTAAGCTGATTTCGGCTGCTCTAACTGTTCTGCTTCGTTTCCTCCAGGCCTCCTCAGATATCGAGCTCCTATCACAGGAAGACCGTCTACACATTGGCGTGGGGACCCCCGYTCCCCCCCGTGTCCTTCGGTGAGTTCCTAACGAGCTCTCAGCAGCAGCTGGATCTTCTGACCCAGCTGAGATTAAACTGTGGTTCGGGAAAGAAACGACGAGTCAGCAAAAAGCTCAGTGCCTCCGCGTGGCCTTTTTGCAATTGAAGGAGCCGAGGAAACGCTGGCAGCTACACTTCGGCTGTTAGACTTGCTCATGCAGCGTTAACTTGGTGTGCCAGCTGTTAGCACGTAGCATTTTGATTAGCGTGTCAATCAGCGCTGCTGCTCTGTTCCGCTAATCAGCTGATGTCTCTGAAACACAAAGAGCTGAAGAACACTGAGCTGAGTGGCTTTACACAAACCTGCTAAAGAAGCTGAAACTGAGGTGTTAACATTAGCTAAAATCTAAAGGTGAAACTGAGGTGTTAATATTAGCTAAAATCAAAGAAGCTGAAACTGAGGTGTTAACATCAGCTAAAATCTAAAGGTGAAACTGAGGTGTTAACATTAGCTAAAATCCAAAGAAGGTAACACTAGCTAAAACAAGCAGTACAGTAGCTAAAAGCTAAACAGCATTCTTAATCATGTTTCTGTTCAGAGTTCTGAAGTGTGTGTGTGTGTGTGTGTGTGTGTGTGTGTGTGTGTGTGTGTGTGTGTGTGTGTGTGTGTGTGGCGTTCAGGCGCAGAAGGGAAACAGAGCTACAGTCTGTACAGCTGCGCGGGCGAAGGCACCATCCTGCAGCACGACCCGGGGAAGCTGAGCGGCGAGGCGTCCGACATCGACAAGCTGATCAGAGACACCAACAACATCCAGGTTCAAAGTGAAAGCTGCTGATCTGCTGCCGGACACTTACACTTTTAATAACTTATATACAAATTAATGAAGGATCTCCATCAAAAACTGAATCTAAATCAAAAATCCAACATGGCTMCTGTAGCTAAACTGCTGAATTGACAATAACTCAGTAATTTTTAGACATATTTGGCTCATATTTGGGATGGCAGTAGATCACAGTGACCTCCAACAAACAGTATATTTAAATTGGACGGCATGTGGCGAGCCCTTTCAGTCTCTCCAGGAACTGTTCTAGTTACATTTTATTATTTTGTGTCCCGACAGCACAAGTTGTCTCCACACACTGACCTCAGCTGGAAGCCTGATGGGAAAGTTGTTGCCATCGGCAATGAGGACGGGTGAGTGGAATCCTAACAGCCCGTCAGTCAGAGTTCATCTGTCACTTCCTGATTAATCATTAATCATGCTTCTCTTCTCCTGTCTGACCTCTGACCCCCCTCAGGAGCATCGATGTGTTTCAGGCTCCGGACCTGAAGCAGCTCTGCAGCATCCAGCAGCACCACAAGATCATCAACTCCTTACGATGGCACCCGGACCACGACTGTCCCCCGGAGCTGAGCGCACTGCTGGCCTCGGGCTCCAGCAACGCCATCGTCTTCATCCACAACCTCCGCTCCGTCATCGGTAAGCTCTCTGCCACGCCGCCGCGCTGCCACGGTAAAAACATCCCACCTGTTTCCTGTCTAGATGTAGCAAAATGCTAGCTAAAAGCAGAAAGTATCAACAATATGTAGACAGTAAAATAGCTAAAGTCTAAATAAAAAGAGAAAAATACCAGCTAAAAGCTCAAAAGNCTTAAGTAAAATGAAAAAGTAGCAAAACTTTAGCTAAATGTAGCAAAATGCTAGCTAAAACCTAAAAGTACCAACAGTATGTAGACAGTAAAACTAGCTAAGTAAAACCATCCCACCTGTTTCCTGTTTGTGCAGAGAGCCCCCCGGAGGAGCCGGTGGTCCTGAACGAGGCGTACCGCAGGTTGTGCGGTCACACGGCGAAGATCACGGATATGGCCTGGAGCCCGCATCAGAGCGGCCGGCTGGTGACGGCCTCGTACGATGGCACGGCGCAGGTCAGTGTGCAGGTGTGGAACCTGTGGTTCTGGTTTCTAGAGCCCCTAAAGCTTCTGTGGTTCTGGTGCTGGACCAGGTGTGGGACGTCCTGGAGGAGGCGGCGGTCTCCAACTACCGCGGTCACAACAGCTACCTGCTGTGCGTGGACTGGTCACCTGTGGATCCGGACGTGGTCTGGACCGGAGGGAAGGACTTCACCGTGCACGAGTGGAGGGTGTCCAAGCAGGAGTTCACCAAACCACCCAAAGGTAAGGATCTGGATCTGGATCTGGATCAGCACCTGGACCCGGGTAAAACCACCGGACTGAAACCTTCTCATGTCAGGGAAGAAGATGGTCCTGCTGCAGGAGAAGAAGGCCACCTCCAAGCAGCAGAAGAAGAAGAACAAGACGACCGCAGCGTCCGCAGGAGGCGCGGGGCCCAAGCCCAACGGAGAGCCTGGTCCAGCAGGAGAGCCTGGTCCTGCAGGAGAGTCCGGTCCCGCAGGAGATCCGGCGGTGACGTCTGAAGGAGAAGAAGACGAAGTCAAATCCACAAACAGCCTGGACGCTCCAGGTGGTGAAAAGAAACAAAAATCAGTTGGAAAACTTCAGCTGAAATTAAAAAAATTATGTTTTTATCTTTTCAGCAAWTCCAGAGACGCAGAGGAAATGTGTGTCTGCTGCCAAAAACAAAGACAAAACAGGTCTGATTTCACCCAAACTCCAACACAAGACATTTTATTAACACAAATGTGAATTAATAATGGACTGTCTTATGTGAAATAATTCAGTTTCTGCGTGGTTAAACTGAACACGAGCGTTTATTTACACCTAAACTTTGATTAGAAACAATAAAAGATTCATGCTGCTKTTTACAGGAAGACTTCTGTTAAATGTGTTTATAAAAGATTCATTTGTTTCTTTTTACACCTCGGTTCTAAACTACATTTATTTGGGTTGTCTAGAGGTAAAACAGAAGAAACCCAGCTGTAATTGTTGAAATCAGATGATTCGATGTGTTTTTAATGCCTCCAGATGTGCAGCTGCTGAAGAAGAAGAAGGCTCGCTCCATGCTGCCCCTCAGCACCTCCATGGACCACCGGCCCAAAGASGACCTGCTGCAGGACTGCGTCACCCTGGCATCCATCAAACACTCAGCCGGTGAGCCCGTCYGACCCGGTTCTGCTTCTAAAAACCCCGCCGCTAACTTGTCTGTGTTTTCAGCCCCGCCTGCAGGCTGTGTCCCGGGCCAGGGAGACCAGGTCCAGCTGGGCCTGTTCCACGACAGAGCGGCTCTGCGCCGCATGTTTCAGGCTGAAGGTGGGTCAGAGGAGCAGAGTTAAAGCTCGGCTGCAGAGGAGGAGCTACAGTTTGATCTGTCTCTGCTGATCCTCAGAGGAGGCCCACGTGGAGGCGGGTCACTATGACTCTGTGGTGTACCTGCGGCTGTGGAGCGGGGACCTGCAGGGGGCGCTGCAGCTCGCCACYGAGAGAGGAGAGCTGAACGACCACCTGCTGTCAGTGGCCCCCATGGGTAAAAACATACATACACACATATATATAAAGGCTAGATAAGTCATAGCGGAGTCTCTGGCATCCTCATACGGRGGCCATCTTGGTACAGGGTCCACTCTTAACATGAATGTGTGTGGTGTATTTACTGTTCAAATAACCATAACTTAGTCAATTTTTATCAGATTTTAAAACTGATTTTTTTGTTGTAAAGGTGAGACATGTTGTTATAAATACTTATAATGGACATTCATATAATATT